CTAGGTCACGTCCCAAAACCATTCAAGCTGGCAGTTATTAAGCCTCTTATTAAGAAACCACAACTAGATCCTAGTGAACTGGCAAATTACATTCCAAATCTTCCTTTTATGTCTAAAATTTTAGAAAAAATTGTGCAAGGATCTGTCCTAGGCCCTCTGCTATTTTCAATATACATGTTGCCACTTGGTAATATTATTAGAAAATACTCGGGGTGCAACGGATCGTAGATGATCCGTGATCAGGCTGCACGGTTCGGCACACATGTGATTCGCGGATGAACTGTTAAGGTTAACCATCATAGAGTAAACTGTAACTGTTTAGTAACAAAAACTGTTTTGTCTTGCCAGTTTACACATTCAAGCAATTTTAACTCGCATGCTCAGCCGATGCCGCACACACGCAGAGAGAGAGACACGCATGAACAGCGAATTGATTCTTCTTTCGCATACATACAAAGTTATGTTAAAATACCCGTTTTGGCAAGTATTCTAGTAAACACAGTCGGATATGTCTTAAGTGAACGTAAACAGCTGAGAAAAAAACGGATGTGTGTCAGTATTAGGTCCGTGCATTTGGTATTAAAGAGACAGCAGCCAATAAATACCTGTTTGCTAATCAAATAACACCACAGCTCTAACAAAGATTAATCTGTATTTAACTTGTGCAGTGAGCACTATTGTGTGATTTTACACTTAATTATTACATTTCTGCACCTAAATGCTACTGTTACTGACTTTATTTGTAACTGTGTTTTGTTTTATTAATCTATGCTTGTAATTTGTATAATTGTTCATGTTTTATTACAAACTGTATTAGTTAAGCTAGTAGTTTTTGCTGTGGTATAGAAGTACTTTTCCGATCCGTGACTCAAAATCCATAATATGATCCGAACCGTGAGTTTTGCGATCCGTTGCACCACTAGAAAATACGGGACTAGTTTCCATTGTTATGCTGATGATACTCAACTATATATTTCAACAAGACCAGATGAAACTTCTAAATTATCTAAGCTAACAGAGTGTGTTAAAAATGTAAAAGACTGGATGACCAATAATTTTCTCCTATTAAATTCGGATAAGACCGAGATATTACTTATTGGACCGAAAAACAGTACACAGAATCTAGATTACAATTTGCATCTAGACAGATGTACTGCTTGATTTTTACCATACATTTCTGCCATATGGACATAAACTTGAGATAGTCACCACTGATAACCTATTATTACTAAATATAATGTAGAAACTTAAATTTTCTGTAAAGCTGCTGTGCAACCATTTGCATTGTGAAAAGCGCTATACAAATAAACTTGAATTGAATCGCTCTTTCTTTGTTTAACAAGCTATACATTATAAGAGATATTCATCACCTTTCTCTAAAACATCCATCATAGAATCAAGAATCAAATATGGTTTAGAGAATCAAAAAGAAAAATCATTTATAATTTCTCAAGGTACAAACGCTACTCAGCTCCCTTTTATTTCATGTATAACACAAAGAGTATGGAAGAAAAAATGCACATATTTTAGTATTTCATTGTGATTTCATGATGCTTGCTTTAGGTGAAAAAAGGAGAAAAGGCTGCCTCTTAATGAAAGCCTCCAAACCAAAATGTGCTTTTTCTCTGAACTGGAGTCTGCAGGTGCTGCAATCAGCCGCGCCGCTGAGTGAATCTAATGATCATTCACACCACCGTGATAATGATCTGATCTAAAGCCAGTCGAGTGAGATGAGATGAAACAGAATTTGAAGATGGGTGTAAAAAGCTCCCATCATCGATGACTCACTCATACCAAAAAGACAGCAAATCTTCCATCAGCATCACTGGCAGAATCTGTACTTCGGATCTCCATTTCGTTCCAGAATCCAGAATCAACTCTCCTCATGTCAAGTAAAAGCTCTGGGTTTGTGTGTCTTGGAGGTGAAAATAAGGAAGGGCATCGCAGGAGGAATCCTGACAGAGGACACTATGTTGGACAAGTAACACATCTGTGACCCTGAGGGTCAGTCATCGCGGACACCCGGAATATCCAAAATTACTGCCTGGCAACCAGCATGTCACGCAGAGGTTTTTTATCAAAATATCCTCACCTCCAAAATGCGCTAAAAATCACAATTTGCTCAAATTGACTGTGAATGCATGTGTGTATTTTTGCTCAAAGGGGATGAGCGGAAATATCTCTGCCCATTAGACATTATGCAAATAAGCACTTTAAGCTTTATAAAATGCAAAGGAATTTTGACTGCCAATCCTAAAAGCAATCTCTCCGACACAAATTCACTTAAATGCTTCCAGCATCTTCGCTAAAACGCTAAATTATGAAATAATAATCATAATTATCTTCATTTTCTCACTGCCCCTTAATGTTGCAGAGGGTCATTAGAATTTCTCTCACATTCAGCCATTTAAAGGGCTTTCGTGACTTTGCTGATGATAAAAAAAAAAGTACTGGCTTGATTTCACGAAGACGTGAGTTACTATGTGATCTGACTAAGAAGTGCTCCTCTTAATGTCGGCAAGGCGTTTAGAAATGCCTCTAGAGCGAGTCTAATCAGAAGGCCATGCTTCTGATCATGAGCAAACATATCCATTCCCTCATTAAGCTGAAGGTATGGCAATGCATGTCTGCGGGGTATAATATCCATACGCTAAGAGATTCCCATTTTAGATTTGCATTCACAAATATAATGTCCAGTGTTGTAGTACAAAGTCAATTTTTACAATACGGGGGTTGTGGCTCTTTATTATTCATATTCATCATGGTTGAGGGATTCTTTATCTCGCATCTTGATGAGAAAAGAACACCTTAGGCTAAATTCATACACAATTGAATCATCCACATGGGTTTGCTCCTAATTTGTAAAATAATAGCAAATATTAGCTTAGGATTCTTTTATATTTTGTAATATAAAAGTTATATGAAAAACAAATTGATGTGTTTCTCAGCATGTGCGCAGCTACAGTTTAGGATTCAGTTCCATCGCCAAAAGCTCATGAAAGTCTTTGCATTAACCTACAGGTACTTTTATAAACTACATAGGAGCCTGTCATCTTTGTTTTTTTTTAAAGGTTATACTGTCTCCTATGTAACCTTTAGTAGACATCAAACACAATGAAGCTGTCAGAAAATACCCAGATATAGACAGAAAATGGTGTCAGGATGGTTCACTGTTCTTAGGACGGGCCATAACCTTTGACCTGAAATAGATTCTCTGTTAAATCATGTGAACAGCTGTGAAGCTGCAGCTCAGTTAAGCTGAATTCCCTATAGAATGACAAGATTTTTTTTCAACACAAATAAATAATTCGACAGCATTATTAAATTAACAACATTACAAAAAAATGCATGATACATGCAGATAATCTGGGCTGCTATGAATATAACAAAAGTCTTCTTTAATGTACATTTGTGGCAGCCAGACAGCAGACTAAATAATCAAAACTGGTTCAGTCTATGACAATCTGTATTATACTTCATAAAAGAAGAAAAACATCAAATCTAAAAGATGTTATTTTTATGCAAAGCATTAAAGAAAAGATGCGTGTAAAAAAACAGGGCAAGAAAAGGGCATGATTATATGCATTGTTTTTAGAGAAACACAAACAGAATGCAAATTTGACAATGATTAACCATTTAGTTGTATTTCTTGTGGACAGAACACATGCAAGTAAACTGTACCAAGTCTGTTCTGTTGCCACATTACCAAACTCTGACACAAGGCAGAATGCAACGAGGATGAGCAACCCCGCCTAGTGGTCAGCAGTGGTACTTTCCCTTGTAGTTGTAGTGGAAAATAGGCCTACTTGTATTGCAGAGAAAATAACCATCTAGAAAAAGGGTAATTGATTTCAATATTTCAATAAAATATTACTAATAATGTCATATTCGATCATGTTTACATATATAATTATCATTTGTATAAAATACATGAGACAGAGGTGGAATCTCCAGGGGTCTGAAAGTAAAAGTCCTGCCATATGTTTATTCCACTCATGAACTCAGCCAGCTGATTTCACTAATTAGTTCTGGCTGAAAAACTGCGCTAAATAGCAAATCTAGTGATTGGAACAAAATATTGAGAACGATTACTTTCTGTAGCTACCTGGTCTTTCCACCTGATGAGAAAACAGGAGTGTAACACTATAATGGGTATAACTATACTGAACTATCATATAATTCTTTATTTACATAATATTTAATATTTACGACACCCGTGTTGACTTTTGGAAGTTATTGTGATATTGCTTGTATGCAGTTGTACAAACAAGCTGTTTGTAGTATATTTATATTGGTAAACTTACATTTCTGTTAGGCCGCCAAGCAAGGCACAGATTGAAAGCCTGTCTGAAACTTTTTTGGAAAACGACCGAGTTTCGTTTTCTTCTCAAAGCGTTCTGTAATCCCTCAGCATGTCGATCCCGTCCAGGTTTTCCATTTCCCGCTAATGAGTGAGAGAAACACGAGGAGTCACAGTCACAAACACAGGTCTTAACTTCAAAAACATGCTTAACGCGGCAGGTAAATTCACACGGCGTTGCTTCTGCTTGCAATAGGAAACACCGACGTTTCGACTTGCAAAAAGCTGCTTTTTGCACATGAAAAATCGGCTTTCACTCCGCACCTCACTCATGGTAGAAACCCGTGAAATCTGAAATTGGTAAGCGGAGTGATACAAACGGTGAAGCGTCCCAGTGTGGATATATTTTGTATTAGCTATTTCAAGGCCCCTTGGCTATTGGCTTACCATTTTTGCATATTAATAATCATAATATTTTAATATAATATTGTAATATAATTTCATTGCTTATAAAATGTTTTAAAATATTTTTCATAATGTAAGAGACTTTATTATTTGTATTATTATTATTATTATTATTATTTGTATTATATTTAAATGTATTAAAATTATTAAAAACTGAAACATTGCATTTTACATAATTACCCATAATATATTATTTTGTATATAATATTATTTATAACATAATTATTTGTAATATGTACCATAATATTAATAGGCATTGGCTGCAAAAATGATAACTCTCGATATGAGCTGTCAATCGCGCTTGGGGTGAGCGCGCGCGCGCTTTTCCTCTCTGCCCCCTCCCCTTAGCAACAGAGGCAAGATGGCGGCCCCCAGTAACGCTGAGCGTTCTCCTGATCTATCGGTGCCGCTGAAGATTCCCAAAACCGAGGTTCCTTCCCCAGAATCCGAGGATCTGAGTGACAGCAACCAATACCATTCCAACCCCTCCACCCCTAATAGATTCTCTCCTCTGAACGTCGGGGTTTCGCTGTCCGGGGGCGCAGGCCGGAGTGGATCGGCCTCTGCCTCCAACAGCTTCACCGCTTGCCGAGGCATGTCGTGGACACCGTCCGAAACAAACGCGCTGATCGCCGTGTGGGGCAACGAAAGGCTGGCGGAGGCGCGGATGCAGCAGCTGGAGGTGGCCGGGACGGTGTTTTCTGGCAAGGCGCCGGGACCCGCGATGTACGAGCGGGTGTCCAGAGCGCTGTCAGAGCTGGGTTACGAACGGACCCCATCCCAGTGTCGAGAGAGGATGAAGGTAAATAAAACATTCAAACACATGGCTGTCACTCAGATATTCTTAGAGGCTTGTTGTCATGTGTAGTCGGCAGGTTACAAAGAGCTTTGGTGAAGCTGTCAAAATCAAAACACAAAGCATAGATCTGTCTTGACACATTTATTTACAGTATATACTTACACTACTGTTCAAAAGTAAATTTTTTCTAAATACTTTTATTCAACAAAACACAAGTGACCGTGTAGGCTTTTACATTGTAACAAAACAATTATTTAAAAAAAAATCTGTTCTTTTGAACTTTTATATTCATCAAATTCTGAAAAAAAAAAATATATATATATGGTTTTCACAAAAATATCAAGTAGCACAACTAATTTTAACATTGTGCATATAACATAACAACAGCAAATCAGCATATTAGAATGATTTATGAAAGATCATGTGACACTGAAGACTGAAGTAATGGCTGCTGAAAATTCAGCTTTGCATCACAAAAATAACTTGGTATCTGAAAGATTTTAGGTTCATACCTCATCAGTGCTGCTCGAAATCTGCTACCACAGAATTCCATATGATGCTCCACAGATTTACTGATAATTTAATGACACATTTATTTACAGTATATACTTACACTACTGTTCAAAAGTAAATTTTTTCTAAATACTTTTATTCAACAAAACACAAGTGACCGTGTAGGCTTTTACATTGTAACAAAACAATTATTTTAAAAAAAATCTGTTCTTTTGAACTTTTATATTCATCAAATTCTGAAAAAAAATATATATATATATATGGTTTTCACAAAAATATCAAGTAGCACAACTAATTTTAACATTGTGCATATAACATAACAACAGCAAATCAGCATATTAGAATGATTTATGAAAGATCATGTGACACTGAAGACTGAAGTAATGGCTGCTGAAAATTCAGCTTTGCATCACAAAAATAACTTGCATTGAATAAAATATTAGAATTATATTAACAGTTATAATTATATTATTTCCCAAATTCCCAATATTACTGTATTTTTGATCAAATAAATGCAGCATAAGAGAATACAAACTTTTTTTTTTTAAACTTATGACCATATATCAATACTATGTATTTATTATCAAAATTATTTATGCATTAATGTGATATATTTTTTTTTTTCTGAAATAATTTTATTGTAAGAATTAGCAGAATTCTGCAGATCTGCTAAAAATTTGTTAAAGAGTATACAGTACATATTCAATGTGGACCTAGTTATCATCCACGGTCTATGAAAATTCTGCCTGTTTCAGACCCAACTCAAAGTCTGATGCCATGTGCATAATTTCAGATATCTCATTTAATACAATCTTGTCTTTCACAGAGGACAACCAGCTTTCAAAAACCAGAGTTCTTCAGATACGACTGGAGCCATCTGAGCACGCTCAGTAAGTTTGAACCTGTGTCCTTTTTCCCAATCCATTTATTTAAACCCACAATTTCCACTCAGGTCCTCATTTCCTCGTGCTTTCTTTAGACGCCAGGAAGTGATGCAGAACGTGATGCGTATCCTGGAGTCAGTGGAAGTCAAATGGGAGCACTTCCAGACATGGACGGACTTCTCCCGCCTCCACCTGTCCAATAAGCTGGCCATCTTCGGAGTGGGCTACAACACGCGGTGGCGAGAGGAGATCCGCTACCACTATGCAGAAATCAGCTCACAGGTTCCTCTGGGAAAACGACTGCGGGAATACTTCAACCCTGAGAAGGCCGAGGGCAGGGTTATCATGACCAAGGTGCAGAAGATGAACTGGAAAGATGTGTATTATAAATTCCTAGACATCACTATTAGCGAAGCTCGCTGTTTGGAGCTCCACATGGAAGTGGACTGGATCCCGATCGCACAGACAAGGGCGGCAGGGTGCAGCAACGGCTCCCAGTACCTCCTACCAGGGGGCATCCCAAAAACATATGGCCTGTATGCAATAGGCTATGAGGAGACAAGTGGGTCCAATTCTTCGTCTAGCACAGAGGACAAGTCCTCCCCCTCACAGGAAGAGGAGGAGACGGACCATTGCGAGAGTGTGAAGAAGGACAAGAGGACATCAGCCAAAGTCACTTACAGTTACCTCGGCATTGCAGAGGAAAGGACGCTACAGCAGTGTCTGTTCCAGCACTTTCAGACTTCAGGCAAGCACTACAGCCGAGGGGAGCCTTCGGCCGTAACCAGGTTCCTGCAGGACAACTGCACCGGCCAGGCCAGGGAGGGCGTCTTCTCTGGATTACACATCTACATTAAGTTTATCGAGGTGGAGCTGGACTTTCTCTCCGCCGGGTCTTTACTGGAATGTTTAGAGACTGCGATCGGTTATTCGTTAAGGTTTAACAAGAAGGATGCACTGTAGCGGTTACATTTGCCAATGAATCTCTTTCAAGCCAGGATTTTGAAATATAGACTTGAACTCAAAGTATTTATGTGGTGTGACAGGCACAGTCTGTTCCGAAAGGGGCCGTGTAGTCTCCTTTGCAGTAATTGTCTTTATCAGGGAGCGTAAACGGGAGCAAACTGCCTTTATTTAAATCTCTCGAGATCCAAATGCAGGAACTGTCCGAAAAAAGAAAAAAAAGAATCCTTAATGAGAACTCTTAATTAATCTAAGTATAAAGTCTATCTATATAGAAGTGTATATATATATATATATAATTTAAGAGTATATATTGATATTGTAAAGCATTCCAGCATTTCCAATTATAGCATTCAAAGAATGTGTTTCATAAAGCGTTTATCAATGTTAGTTTTTTTTTATTTGTGAGTTCACACAGTGTCTTCATGTATGATTGTTTCTAGGTCACAGTCTTGTTTACATGTTTGGAAGGACAAAAAATAAATTTATTAAATGACGTGCTGTTCTGATTTTAAATTTGTGCATTTTAGGTTTTTATTTATCCAGACCTTTCGGAATAAAATGTTAATTAAAAGTTTCTTAAAGTCCCTTTATATACATTAAGTCATGGCATGTCAAATGTAAAATTAAGATTAATTAAGAACATTTACAGTACTTGAGATGCAAATTGAACTATGAAATATGAAGTCTTGTTTTCAGAGAAATGGAACCAAATTAAGAGAGTTTATTCTTAAAACAATAATAAACATCTGTCAATGTGGTATGAAACTTGTTTTCCCTTGAATGAAGTAGATTTTTCTAAACCTGTTGGATATTTGTTCTTGTTTTAATCATCAATTCACTTAATTTTAATCAAAATAAATCAAGCATAAAACAAAGACTCAATTCTATGTCATTCTGTTTCTCTATGCCTGTATCTTGATTTAATCATCTTTATACATTTTCACTGGTAAACAAGATAAAAATAGTGATGAACACTTTTTTGCACAGTGATCAGATGGTATAATGTTATTTCCCAATTCTAGTTGGGTATTCAAGCCATAATTAATTAACTGTTGGATAGATGGAGAGATCTGTTGGAATTCTATTTTTAAACTTTGATATTAGCATGCTAATACAAGACATTTACATTTAAAGACCATAATGAAGTATTGTGCTCCATTCCATTTATTCCTTGCATTTTCTTTACCTGGTCTTAAAAATTCCTTCATAAAACCTGCAGAGACACAGATGGTCGGTTATGTGACCAGCAGGTGGCAGTAAATATCTGTAAGTGGCTGAAAGATGTGTCCATTAAATAAGTGTCCATTAATGTCACATTCTAGAATAATAAATTATGTATTAGATTACTACTTATAGGCCCTAAGTAGTGCATGTCAAGGTATCTGTCATACAAGTGAAGTAAAGTGCATTTTGTAATTCTTAAAACATGCAATAATTTAGTTCAATTTGACCCTGGTGCAGTGAATTATGCCCCAAATCAGAAGACTGTATATTGTTTTATTTAACACAGAGTGCACTTTCTCTTTGTAACACTGCTTGTGTGGTAAACCTCTTTTGTGGTGTTGCAAAGGTAGTTGGCTGCTGGCGTTGGTCGAGCATGTGCTAAGAGAATCAATAATTCAAACGCAAAGTCTAATTTCCCTGCTTAGCCTGTCATATGAGTATCTCCCTCGGCCAGGAAAAAAACACTCCCAGTGGAGGCTGCTACAATTTTTCTAACCCCAAACATTTATTATTTGCTTTATTTATTGATTTCTCTGGTTTAAAAATGGTGGATGGTGACTAAAATATAGAACACTTATTATTATTGAACATGATAAGTGTTCCCCCATCGATTGCACTTTATTCATAGCACCTTTAACCTCCATGGGTATTTATTCAATCCATGTAGTTTTTTCTTATATTTCTTTTTTCTTTTGAATCTTTATTTAGCTATTTCTAAAAGCTCTAATATTACATGTGTCCTTATGAATACTGAAGATACAAAAGTCATATGTCGTACATAAGAAATACATCTATGAGAGCATAATTAATACTTTTTAATACTTTAATACTGTTAAACCATGCACTAATGATGTCAATCAGACAGAAACATATTTACAATTAAGTTATTCTAATTATTATTTTATTATTATAGTTACCATTTTGTGTGTACAACAATATAATAATAATTTGTTTTTTAAAAATTATATTTTCCAATATTGTATTATATATTCAGTCTGTGTGCATTGAATTTATTTAATACACGAGTTTCACAATTTGAGTTGAATTACTGAAATAAATGAACTTTTCCACGACATTCTAATTTATTGAGATGCACCTGTATATATATATATGTTTTATTATATTTATATTTTTTCTTAATTTTAAATTATTATTGTTGTGTGTACATTTATATATAACAACTATTGTGATAATAAATTAAATGAAAATTTTAAATTAATTATAAAAATTAATGAATAAAAATAAATGAACAACAAAAAATACAAATAACAGCTTACCCTTCTGTCTCCTATAGGCTAAAATGCATGTTTCCTATATAACTTTAAACAACAACAAGGGGAATGAAATAAGAAAGGCAATAAAAATGGCTGAACCTTCATGGTTTTTCATTCTTATCTCCTGGTTGTTTATGGCTGAGCTGTGTGTGGTCATAAATGATGGACCTAAATTACACTGCAGCTCATGTTCACGTCATTTTCTTTTCTGTTTGCTCGTCTGGGAGCTGTGAGATGATTGTGGCTCTGAATGTGTTCTCTTGTGTATCTGAGTGACTGACCTTTGGTCGTTGATTTTACAACTCTGAATCTGTCAGTTTTACCTTGGGAATGGCCTCCAGAGCATGTTTTTTTATCTGTTGTGTCATTTTTATAGTGGTTTAAAAAGTAAAAAAGACCTTCTGTGTCAAGGTATGTGCTATTGCAGCTAAAATATCTGTATATTTTATCCCATACACCCCAGCTCACCCTGCCCTTTGAATTTTTTTGTGGATGCAGTTTGCCCGAGATGCTCGAGTGCATTTAAGATATTAGCTTTGACTGCAAAACCACACGATCGTGTCCGAGTAGCCCAGGGTGTAATCACAGAACTGAGCTCATCTGCCCCTAATAATCCAGCAGTCCGACTGCATCCACCTCAGCCCTGTTTCCATGGCAACATGCCATCCTAAAGAAACAGGAGTGAGGAGGTATTCACCTCCGAGGGCTGAGACCACTGTGCTGCCACGACAAGCCCCACTCCCTGTCCTGTTGCATTATCATTGCAAGAGATAAAAGGAACTACACAACATTAGCGCTGCTGTCCCATCTAACTGAACAACACAAGAGCAGCCTGACTGTATTTTTATTGGTCTTCAGTCTTTTAAAGAGTTAAATGAAACTTGGAAAGTCAGCCTGGGTAATTGATACTGTGCGCAATAACCTGTGACTGCAGTCATGGTCATATATTAACCTTAAGCATGTACATGAACTACTGATCTAAAAAGCATTATATAATATTTCGATAATGACTTGGTAGTAAAAGGAAAATGTAATAAATGTAATAAAGTGTGACCTATTGTACAAGTTTATTCCTATAATCATAAACTAATTAGTTATTTGTAAAATTAATATTTGTCAAAATATCAATCTATCTATCTATCTATCTCTGTCTGTCTGTCTGTCCATCAGTCTTTCTATCTATCTGTCTGTCTATCGTTCTGACTGTTATTCTATATTCTGTATATCTATGTCTGTCCACCAGTCTATCTATCTATCTATCTATCTATCTATCTGTCTGTCTGTCTGTCTGTCTGTCTGTCTGTCTGTCCAAATTCACAAATGAGAGTGTCCACATTGCCTATGTATTTGTAATTAATGTGGATATAAATTAATATTAATTTAATTTATATCAAATAGTTAAAAAGATTGTATTGATATAACCAATATTATTTATAAAAGACGTGTGTATATTTCTATATATATTTGCTTTAATCAGTGTGGATTTAATAAGCGCAGCTGAGTCGCGTTCAGCATCCCATGCGTTCTCACGCAGAGTTCACCTGTAACTGGAGTGATGACGTGTCAGAGCACGCAGGGGGCGTTCCGCGCGAATGCGGGTGCAACAGCTCTCCGAGCAGTCATTACACACGGACTGAAGTACCACTAGTGTTCACCACACCCTCGCTGTCTGTGTAGTGCGTAAAGAAACAGATATTCGCCGAGAAACAAACGGACACGTTCAATCTCATGCCACTGAATTCTGAGGAGTCAAAGATGATTTCCAGCTTGGATGTAGCGTCGGTCTTCCCACGGTGAACATCGCTTGTTTTAAGGAGAACACACAGTTGTAGGACACTTGAAAGAGCCTCAGTGCTTTGATTTGTTTGTAGATAACCGTTATCTACTTCACGCGCAGTGTTAATACGGACGAGCGCGCGCAGAGCGGACACTCTTCACATGCTGAGCCATGGAGACGCAAACTTCAGCAAAACTTCACACCTGCCTGTCAATATTAACATGTCTGTGCTGTATCTCAGGTAGGCTGCTTCTACACCGCTACACGAACTGTTGCTGTGTGCGCTGGGAATGTAAATACTTCATGTGTTCACATACTGGATATATATGCTTAGGTATAGCCTACTTGAGTTCAGTTTCATTCAGGCTGTTTTTAAAGTCAAACGATTAAAAAAAATTACAAGCCAACAGTACTGATAATATATATATATATATATATATATATATATACATATATATATATATTCATGTTATATATATTCATGTTATATAAACATTAATATTTCTTGCTTTTGTTTGTTGTTTACAGTCTACAAGAATAAGAGCAGACATAATAAGAAAATTAGGCCTTTAACTAACTATAAAATTAGTTAAATATATTATATATTCCTCCCACTTGGTAAACTAAGTTAGTAAATACACATATATAGTACCACATTAATAACATATATAATGCACATATATAATACCTTAATAACACATTTATAATACTCACACGGACTGAAGTACCACTAGTGTTCACCACACCCTCGCTGTCTGTGTAGTGCGTAAAGAAACAGATATTCGCCGAGAAACAAACGGACACGTTCAATCTCATGCCACTGAATTCTGAGGAGTCAAAGATGATTTCCAGCTTGGATGTAGCGTCGGTCTTCCCACGGTGAACATCGCTTGTTTTAAGGAGAACACACAGTTGTAGGACACTTGAAAGAGCCTCAGTGCTTTGATTTGTTTGTAGATAACCGTTATCTACTTCACGCGCAGTGTTAATACGGACGAGCGCTCGCAGAGCGGACACTCTTCACATGCTGAGCCATGGAGACGCAAACTTCAG